CAGAGAAACAGCAAAGACACAGACACCGAGAAGGGCTTCTCTAGCTTGTACAATGCAAGAAACCGCTAGAGCAGTTTGGCACGAAGCTCCTGTCTAAGTTGTCTCAAACACTTCACCTTGGAAATACTCAGGACCCACCAGGTAGATAAAACGAAACAATTTGGTTTGATCTGAACTGGTTTAAGTAAAGCCGCTATGTACTTAGGAATTTTCCCTACGTTCAAAGAAAGTAGGACTCGGTGAACTACTACTACAGGAACAAACGGAGGCTGACAGTGATACAGGCTGAGAAACCTAGGTGCAGAGAGACAACCAAACCCACTGCCGTCGAGGCGATTCCGACTCCTAGTGAGTGTATAGGACAGAGCAGAACTGCCCCGTAGGGTTTCCAAAGTGCAACTGGTGGATTCGAACTGCTGACAATTTGGTTAGCGGCTGTAGCTCTCAACCACTGCGCCACCAGGGCCCCACAGACAGAAAACCAGGGAAAAAAGAAAACATGGTGGGGGAGGGGAGAATGCTGTGGAGCAGGCTGCCATCTCCTGCAACTGTGCGTTCACAGGTCATTTCTCTTTGGCAGCTGCAGGGTCTGTGGGTGCCAGTGATGCAGCCAGGTGGTATTGTGGTACTTGGAGACAGAGCTGCTCATAGTTCTAAAATATTTTTCAGAGGCTGCTGCTCTGAGAAATTACAGCACCACCCCTTCGCATGGTGGAGTCTGGAGGCAGTAGAGACAGGGCTGAGGGTGCAGGGCCTAACAGAAGATAAAACTGGAGAGTATATGGTATCCCCTGGTGGTGCTATATGGGCGCCTCCAACACAAGATCTCTTCTCTAAGGGTTCAGTCACTCAGGGAGAACTGAGATTTGGAACTTTCAAGCTGCAAGAGAACTTGGCAAATTTTTTGGCTTTCAAACTATTTTAGAGAGACCCATAGTGAAAAATACATTTTATATCATGACTCAGAACACATGTAAGTATATAATGCATACACCTGACACAGATGTTCACAATACAACACTTACCATGACCAATATTTTCTATTCTTCTACATTTTTAAAAGCTGGTTCTAACCCACTAAATTGATTTAAGACTCACCAATACGTCACAACCTGATCTGAAAAACAGTTAAACTAGTTATCTCATTTTTAGACCCGCCCAGATACATCCAGCGACTTGCGAATGGCTATGCACTAAATTAGTGACAGAGTTAAAGCCAAAAATTCTGTCTGAGAAGTTCAGACTATTAGTACTTCCACTATATCGTCTCTGACTGTGTAGCAAGCTGCATCACACAGAATTCTAAAATGTATAAGTGAAAGGGAGTCTGGAGGTAAAAATAGGGATTTTTTTTTTTTCTTTTTTTAATAAGTAGTCATTCTTCAAACCTTAGAGCAACCCTAAGATAGGTTTTAACAACAACAATGGAGGTATTCTGGTGAAGGGAGAGCGGCTCTGATCACGAGGCACCTTGCCGAGCCTCCGGTAGATTTCAGAACCAGGGCTTAATGCTTTGAGTTGGACTCCATCAAATCAAATCACTTGACAAACAAAATCAACCAGTCAAATCATTTGACAACCAGTTGAATCACTTGACCGCCAGTCAAAACACCTGGCAACCAGTCAAATCACTTGACAAACAAAACGCAATTTCTTTT